GCCCAGGCCGGGGAGCTACCCACAGGGCGCAGCAGACCCCTCCTGACTCCCGCTGCTCCCCTCAGCAGTGATTTCAGTGGATCCGCCTGTTCTGCTCCCCGCTCTGTCTCTGGTGAATCCCCTCACCCTCGGCACCTCTGGCCTGTACCCCACCTCTTGTATGCATAAATAAATAAATCTTTAAAAAATTAAAAAAATAAATGTAACTTTGTCATGCAGAAACCCAGAACTGTGAATAAGAACAGAGAGAAAATGAGTCAGCAGAATCCGAACCACAAAGACGGAGCCACCGGGAGTGTCAGAGGTGGGGCACAGTGAGGCCGTTGATGTGGGTCGGTGTATTTTTAAAAGAATGTTTCGATTTTGAGTAAGGACCAGGAGCCTGTGACATGGATCACAGACGTCTGAAAATAGGAATTCAACAAATGGGCTCCAGAGTGGCTCGGTCCTACGGGAGGGGAGAGCCGTGAGCCTGGTCATTAGGAATTATTCAAAACACAGCACAGGCCCAAAGGCCTGGGTGTGGGCAGGAGGCCAGGGGACATAGAAGTCGGGGTCAGGATGTGCACCGCGTGTCCACTCACGGTTCCTGTCAGTGTAACTGAGACGATAGGGAAGAAGCATATTTGAAGAAAAATGAAAATTTATAGCATCGCTGGGAGATGCGAATCTTCAGATCGAAGGATCCCAAAGAATTACAAGTGCAAGAGATAAAAAGAACTTGGTGTTTGCTTTGCATGAGATTTTACAGAGATTTTTATATCCACATGAGAAAAATGCTCACAACAATTCTGTGATTTTATAAAACGATTTTTAAAGTTTCCTGTTATGGGAGCAATAAAATGGATGACGCGGCAGCGGGAAGGACTGGACTTTGGCTGGTGAACCGAGCGCCGAGCGCCGAGCACACGTGTTCGCTCTCGGCGGCATCGACGCTCACACTGTCACGTCAGTACAAACGTTAAAATGAGACGCGTGTGGAATATTCACGAGAGACATTGAAGAAGACCTAAATGAAAGGGGCCGCCACCCCAGGCGCGGCACCGCCTGGCTAAGGATGCCGGTGCTCCCCACTCTTCAGACGCCACGCGGTAGCGCCCCGTGGACCTTGACAAGGTGAGCCTCAAGGTCATGTGGAGGAGCAGGCGGCCGCGAGGCAGACAGACTGAAAGCAGGTGCGGGGCTTCCTCCAGACACAGGTCAGGCCTCCGCCACTGCTGGCCTGGCGCCGCAGGCTCCGGGTGGACAGAAGCACCGATGGACAGAGCCAGGACCCAGACTCACCCGACTCGGACGCAGGAGCGAGACCCCACGGGGCTCCTGCCAACCCCTGGGAGGCAGAGACGGTAGATGACGGTGTGGGCGTGGGTGAGGCTGGCGAGGCTGTCAGCACCAGGCGCCCTGTGAGACAGGGCTGGGGCGGGGGGCTGGGGCGGGGGTGGGTACGGGCCTTGATGGAGCCAGGTGCTGGGGTAGGACCCATCGAGTGCCCACCACGAGCTCGGGGGCCTCCACGGAGGGGGACCAGGCCCGCTCAGGTGAAATCAGCAGGGGCCCGGTGCCCCCCAGCCGGAGAGGGGGTGCAGATTTCTCCTGCTCCTCCAGGGCCTGTGAGAGGACCCCCTTCCCTGCGTCCCCAGGAAACCCGTGAGCTGAACACATCTCGGGGACCCCTCCCCTCCTGCAGCCCTGGCTCCCCAGGGGCTGGGGCTGCGCCTGCAGGTTAAGGAGAAAGCTTCAGGCCAGGACTCCCTGCTTCGCTGCCGCGTGAGCCAGGGCAGCAGGGTGGTCTCGGCGATCCTCAGCTGCAGGCCATCAGCCTCTAGCCCTCGAAGGCCGCATCCCACAGCGCCCTCAGCTCCGAGGACGGCCTGGTGGTGCCCTGGACACCCGCCCCCTGGGCGCCCGGGGGAGCAGCCCGGCCCGGCGAGAAGGACTTTGATCAGCTGGTCTCCTTCCCCACAAACCTGCGCCGGAGTCGCCCCAAACGCCCCAAGGGCCTTCACACAATTTCGATGCCAAGGAATCTAAGGAGTAAAATTGTAAAACTATAAAAAACGTAACAAAGTCCCCGGGGGAGACACAGCAGCGGCCGTGCCGGGGTGGCCGCCACCAGGCCCTCCACTGGGGCCTCTCATCAGGGACACGGTTGGCCCGGCAGGGGCTCTGCGCGCTGCAGAGTGTGCGGCGGGGGAGCAGGACGCGAGCAGGTGGCGGGAGCCGCGCAGAGGCCAACCTCGCCCGCGCCTGTGCACGCGGGAGCGTTGCTTCCAGCACACGCTGCACGGGCAGGCGAAGACTTGCTTTCTCACAGAAAAGACGGACAAGGGTGGGGCGCTGGTAAGGACCCCAGTGCTGTCCCCGCTGCAGGTGGCCGTCAGCCTGCCCAGCACAGTGGACGCAGCTCCTAGAAGACAAAGGGCCTGTGGCCCGAGAGGGAGCGGGGTGGGACCCGCCGTCTGGGAATGGAGGGTGTGTGGTGGGAAGCGGCTCCTCAGTTATTGGGGTTGTGCCCTGGGGCTGGCACAGCCTCGCTCTCCTCCCCCCGGAAGGGCAGGGCTCCCCAAGAAGAACGAGGCCTTGCGAGAGGATCCTCAGAGCCATGGCCCTCCTCCCTCCGAGGAGGCCGCTGCGTGGTCATTAACTGGGGGCCTTTACAGCTGGCCCAGAGGAAGCCTTGGCTGTAAACCGTCATGCACCGCAGCCTCCGCTGAAAAGGCCCCGAGGGCGAAGACTAAGCCACAGTTGCCGAGCTGCTAGGCAAGAGGAGAGGGAGCGCACCCTTGCCAAGCCACGCCGGCCCCACGCTGGCTCCACGCAGCCGCCCGCCCCGACCGGCCACAGCACCTCCCGTCTCTGCTTGGCCCCCACTCCGGCCCCTGAGATTTCTGCCTCTCACCCTGTAATTCCTGTCCTGGGCGCCTGAGCTGTAACGTTCTTTGGGGTTTCATTCCTATGTGATCCTGCCCCTCCCGTCTGAGGGGTCCGCGCTTCTAGAGCCCTCTGGGGACCCTCCTGTGTGCTGGGATCTTCTGGACTTGGGGAAAGCGGCCCTGCCTTCAGAGTCTGCGCTGCTCTCAGGGGTCAAGGGGCTTCGTCAGAACTTGGACCAGGACGAGGGGGAGGGTCGGGGGTGCCCCGTCTCCCAGACCCACGTTCTTCCCCCGCAGGAGTCCCGGCAGTCTCAGGGCGGAGAGCAGCCTTGGGGCCCTTTTACTCTCCGGGAGGACGAGCACCCCTCCCCACCCCCCAGCCCGGCGCGGCCAGGGGAAGGCCAGGGAGGTGCGGGCCAGGAGCAAACGAGGGCCTTTTGGTGCCTCTTTCCAGAAGGAACTCCCCACCCCCACCCGGGTCAGCCCCCTAGGAATTTCCATGCGTCCCAGACAACAAAAGAAACTGAGAAATGCGGACCTAATGAGGTGCACCCGGCCTCCGCTCCTGGGGCTCGGTTGGGGAGAGGTGGGGGTCGCACCCCAGCGCAGGGTGCCGGAGCCCTCCCGTGGAAGGGGCTCCCGAGGGGCTGCCTGGCAATTCCCGCTCCCAGGGCAGGCCTGGCCGGCGCCGGGCAGGGCAGGGCAGGGTGCGCGGGCGCAGACCCACGTGCGCCCCGAGACTTCCCTGGCTGGGGCTCAGGAACGCCTTGAATGGGGCGCCCCACCCGATGCGTAGGCTTTTCCCGGTGGGTGTGGAGGCCGGGCGCGAGGAAGACTGGTCAGCCGGGGCTGGAGCCGCCAGGTCCTGGAGCCGCCGGCCAGGGGCGCGGGCGCGGGGCGCGCACAGCTCGCGCCGGGACAGTCGGTTCCTGCTCCTCCCGGGCCCGCGGGCCTCTCGCTCGGCAGGAAAGTTGTTGTTCCAAGTGCCCCGTTGGGCATTTCTCCTGCTCGCGGTCGCCTCTCCCCGCGCGCGGCCTCCCCAGAGGTGACAACACCGCGCCCTGCAAGGCCGCCGGCGCCGCTGGGTGCGGGTCTCGCTCCGCCCGGGGCTGAGGACACCGGCCGCCCCGCGCGCCCCGCGCAGAAGCAGCCGCACGGGCGGGGGGGGGGGCAGCCGCGCCCAGGGGCCAGCCTCGCCTGGGGGGCCAGCCTCGCCCGGGGCCAGCCTCGCCTGGGGGGCCAGCCTCGCCCGGTGCCAGCCTCGCCTGGGGGGCCAGCCGCGCCCAGGGCCAGCCGAGCCCAGGGGCCAGGCGGGGCGAAGCCGGCTGGCGCCGAGGGTGCCTGGGACAGCCGGAGACCCCGCCCCTCCCGGCCAGGAGAGGGCCCGGGGAGCGGGGCGCCCCCAGCCGGGCTGACGCACGGACCGGGGAGTCGGCGGAGCCGCCCGGGGCGCCGCGGGCCTGGACGCGGGAGCCCGAGGCTCGGAGAGGCGCGGCCGGGCAGTCGCGGCGGACCCGGGCGGGGCGGGGCGCGGCGGGGCGCGCAGGTGAGCGCAGGTGAGCGCTGCGGGGGCTGCAGCCCGGCTCGCCGCGGCGTCGGGAGCCCTGGAGAGCGCGCGCCCTCGCGCAGGCTTGGGGAGGTGCTGCCCGGGCGCGGCGTCCCCGCTCCCCACCTCCTGCCCGCGGGCCTCCGCTGCGGGGCGCTTTGATGGAGGTGCAAACATTTGGGGGGGCGGGGGTGTGGGGGCTGGCCCGGCGCGGGGATTTACATGAAACGGCGCGCAGGAGCCCGTGGTTCCCCGGCCCGGCCGCCCCGGGTCTGATATGGCCGCGCGGGGCCAATGGGCAGCGGCCCCCGCACTTCAAAGGGCGCGCGGGCCAATCCCCCGCGCCCCTCCGCGCGCCGGCCCTATTTATGGGGAGGGGACCCGCCTTCTCCCCGCAGAGCCCTCCTCCGGCCGAGCCGCGGGAGTTCAAGTGGAAGCGCCTCCCCGGCCTCCCCGCCCCTCCCGGCCCCTCTCGCCCGCGCGGCTGCCCAGCGCCCGGCCCGCGGCCCCTTCGACGCGCCCGGCCGTCCGGGGCAGGGTGCGCCGGCCTAGCCGCGGCCTGGGGCGGGGAGGGCGCGAGGATGAGCTCCGCGGGCGCGGAGGGCGCGGGCCGGGGCGCGCAGCACCGCGTGGACCACCTGCTGAGCGCCGTGGAGAGCGAGCTGCGCGCGGGCAGCGAGAAGGGGGACCCCACGGAGCGCGAGCTGCGCGTGGGCCTGGAGGAGAGCGAGCTGTGGCTGCGCTTCAAGGAGCTCACCAACGAGATGATCGTCACCAAGAACGGCCGGTGGGTGGGTGGGTGCGCCTGCCGGGTGCTTCGGGGCGCAGCCTGGAAAGGGGTGCGCTGCTTCCTCCTGATGGGCGCCTCTTCTCGTTTCCTCCGGGCCGGGACAGGCCGCCGTGGCCTTAGCCGTCACTCCCCCGGGACTCTCTCTGGGGGTGGCTGGGGAGGAAGGACTCCAGGGGCGCTCACCCCGCTGCGGGGCTGCCCAGGTGTGGCCGGCGCTCACGCCTCCCTGCCAGGCCCTCGGCCCCCTTCTCTGCTGGGAGTGGGCGGGGGTCTCCAGGGACCAGAGAGTCGCAGCCGGCGCAAGGAAGCTTGGGGGTCCCCTTGAAAGTCCCCGGGGGGCCTCCTGGCCCCAGGTGACAAGCCCTGTCCTGAGCCTTCCGCCTGCGGCCCCCGGGGCCACCCCTCTCCAGGAGGATGTTCCCGGTGCTGAAGGTGAGCGTGTCTGGCCTGGACCCCAACGCCATGTACTCCTTCCTGCTGGACTTCGTGGCGGCCGACAGCCACCGCTGGAAGTACGTGAATGGGGAGTGGGTGCCGGGGGGCAAGCCGGAGCCCCAGGCGCCCAGCTGTGTCTACATCCACCCAGACTCCCCCAACTTCGGGGCCCACTGGATGAAGGCGCCCGTGTCCTTCAGTAAAGTCAAGCTCACCAACAAGCTCAACGGAGGGGGCCAGGTAGGCGGGGCAGGGCAGCCCCTGGGGGGCCCACCTGCTGCCTGGAGGAGCCCTGAGGGGGCACGCTGGGCACAGGGGGTGACGTTGTGTCGTGTCCTGTGCAGTCGCCCACGGGGGGCCGGGGGTGGGGAAGGGGAGAGCCTCCCTGCTGCGTCTCTAGTTTTGGGGAACTTCTGTGTTCTGGCCCTCAACTTCCCTGGTGGGGTTGGGGGGATGCCAGCCTTTGGGGTACACAGTCACGCTGCAACTGAGCGAGGCCGCCTGGGTTGTGCCCCGAGAGCTGGCCCTGGCGGCTCTCAGAGAGCCCAGACCGGCTGCAGGGCCCTGGGGGCGGCAGGGGGCGCGGCCTCTATCCCGTTAGCGTCTCTGTTCCTTCCCGGAGCAAACTCCCCGCGGGAGAAGCTGCTGGGAACCCGCTAGCTGCAGTGGAGGCTCTGGGCTGTGCCCCGGCAGCTGGGACAGCGGAAGCCATGCTGTGACAGGTGTGGGAAGGCTGCTCCTGTGTTTCTGCCCCACAGATCATGCTCAACTCCTTGCACAAATATGAGCCCCGAATCCACATAGTGAGAGTTGGGGGCCCGCAGCGCATGCTCACCAGCCACTGCTTCCCCGAGACCCAGTTCATAGCAGTGACCGCCTACCAGAATGAGGAGGTGAGGGCTGGGGGGGGGGGGCAGGAGAGGAGATGAGGGGGAGGTGGGGGGTGGGGAAGCGAGGAGGTGGGGGTGGGGCGGCGAGGGGGCGGGGGAGTGGGAGAGTGGGGGTGCTGGAGGAAGCGCCTAGGCTGCCCCTGGGCCTCCAGGTGAAGGCAGCCAGCGGTGATCCGTGTGCTTGGGAGTGGTGCTAACTCTTCCCAGCCACTCGCGGGACCCTGAAGCGGGAGAGTTTTAAGCAAGTCCTCGTCCGGGCGTTGTCCCTGATTAATTCTCCGCAAGGTCTGAAACTAGAAGCTCCTACCAAGTGTTCCAGACGCAGAGAGGAAGGAAGCGTTAGGGGAAGCCCTGGGGGCACTTGTGGAGGAGCAGCTAAGCCCAGCCCATGGGTGGTGCCTGTGCACCAGCCTGCCCGGCAGGGCCCGTGGGGTCCTGTGCCTCTGGCCACGTCCTCAGGGCTGACCGGGCCCAGGCCCTGCTTTCTGAGCAAGGCCGGCTACGTGGTGAGCCAGATTTGTGTGATGCACACAGACTGTTGTCGGCAGCAGCGTGTGGGCGGTGATCTCACTTGCAAAGTTGGCACTGGACTCTGTTAGCGAGTATGCCTTCTCCAGGGGCTGCGTAGGAAGATGTGCCTGGACAGAGGTCTGACTGGGTTCGAGCAGTGAAAGGGGGGATCGGTGTTTCCCAACTTCTTGGGGCCAAATGAAGTCCGCCGGCTCTCAAGCCACGGGCCGCTAAATCCTCCTCTCGTTTTTCAGATCACTGCTCTTAAGATTAAATACAATCCGTTCGCAAAAGCATTCCTGGACGCCAAGGAACGGTGAGAGGGCGCTGCCTGCCCGCGGTGTGCTGCTCGGGCGGCCGCTGACCGCGCGGCCCCCTCTGACAGTGCCCCCCGCTCTCTCCGCAGGAGCGACCACAAAGACATGCTGGATGAGGCGGGGGACAGCCAGCCGTCCGGCTACTCCCAGTGTACGGTTTGCCGCGCTCTGCCCCCGCCCTATCCGGGCTGTTCTGGGACAACTGGCCGCGGCACCAAGGCCGAGTGGGGGCCTGGGTGCGGCAGGGCGCCTGCCTCTGCGCTGGCAGAGCTGCCCCTGACCTGGACGCCCCGGGTGGCCACCGTCTGCCCCTGGATCTGACGGGGTGGTGGCCGGGCCCGCGGTGGGGCTCCGGCAGACGGGTGTCCGCGGCTCCAGGCTCTTCGGTTGTGCCGGGAAGGGCGACGGCACCCAGGGCTGGCTGGGGCCGGACCGCTCGGTGCAGATGCTGTTGTTTGGGGCGAGAGGAGGACCCGCGCGCGTGTCCACTGAGGGGTGGCGCCCGCTGTCCACGGTCGAGAGCGGGAGGGCTGTCTGGCCTGGTGCTTGTGGACGGCTGTCCTCTGCTCGCCCTCCCGCGCGGCCCTGGGGAGCCTGTGCTCCCGGCTGCGAGGCGGCAAAGGATGGGCTGGAGTGGGCAGGGTCAGCATCCCTGGGGAGGCCGACCGGCGCTCCAACAGGAGGAGGGCTTTGCGTAGCCCCCCGGAAGCCCCGGGAAGGAGCTGGGAGACCGCACCCTCCGTGGGACACTTGGCCAGCGTCTGCTTGTCCCTCAGGGGGCCTGAGCCCCGCGTCCTCAGCAGGCCTCTCCCGCGCGTGCGTCTGTTACCGTCTCAGACTCACGGTGCGTCCCCCCGGGGCAGCGCCTGGGCAGACAGGTGGGCGCCGGTGCGGCTGTGTGGGCCGGGCAGGGCTGAGTCTGGTGGGCACCTAGGGACCCCGGCGGAGCTGCAGTCCCGGGAGCAGTTTCTGGCTTGGCGGCTGGAGCAAGAGGAGCCTCTCCCTGGAGGTTACTTCCTCTGAAAAGAAACGCCAAAGTGACCCAGACAGGACGGACCTGGGACTGTCCTCCGCCGCCATGCCCGGGGGCGGGACTGGGTCAGGAGACAAGCGGACGAGGGTCGGCGGCAGGGAGGCGGGTGCTGGCCGGGCAGCCCGGCATCCTCAGCAAGGCTCGCTCTGATTCTGTTTCCACATCGTGCTCAGCCGCTGGGCCTGGGAGCTGGCCTGGCAGGGGGCAGGGGACACCCACAGAAAGCTGGAGGCCCCTGGGGGTGTTGGACTAAGAGTGGTTGAGGGGGCGGCCGGGCGGGCAGAGACCGGGGTCTCCCAGGTGTGCTCGGGTGCCCTGCTGTGGCGGCACCGAGTCGGGCATCTGCAGACTGCGCTGGGCGCTCCGTGCCAGGCCCCCGGGAATGAGCCTTGTCCTGGTCCCCTCCCCTCCCCCTGGGGCGAGGAGCCACTACTCAGCTTGCTCTCCCCACAGCAGGGGGCTGGCTCATTCCTGGCACCAGCACTCTCTGCCCGCCGGCCACGCCACACCCGCAGTTCGGAGCTCCCCTCTCCCTGCCCTCTGCACACGGCTGTGACCGGTACCCCGCACTGAGGAGCCACCGCCCTGCCCCCTACCCCAGCCCCTACACACAGCGGAACAGCTCTCCCAGTAAGTGGCCTCGGTTGGGGGTGGCCGGCGGCTGGGACGCACCACATGGGGTGTGGGCCAGGCTTGGGGCCCACCCAGCCCTGTCCTGTAGTGGCTCCACCTGCCTGAGCCATGCTGGTGGGGCCGTGGGGCCGGCCAGGGGTCCTGCTGATCACCCCTTGCATTGCTTGGCTCTTGGGGAGGGCCAAGCTTGGGCACTTGTGGCCTCTGCTCTCGCGAGAAGGAAGAAACTGGACGTTTCCAAGCACTCACATGTGGGTCTGTCTGTGTCCCTCACATGCGCATGTGTTGTTTGGGTGTGGGTTTCCCAGGTGTGTGTGGCCCAGGTGTGTGTGACCCAGGTGTGGGTGGCCTAGGAGTGTGTGGCCCAGGTGTGGGTGGCCCAGGTGTGTGTGACCCAAGTGTGGGTGGCCTAAGAGTATGTGGCCCAGGTGTGTGTGGCCCAGGTGTGGTGGCCCAGGTGTGGGTTTCCCAGGTGTGTGTGGCCCAGGTGTGTGTGTGACCCAGGTGTGGGTGGCCTAGGAGTGTGTGGCCCAGGTGTGGGTGGCCCAGGTGTGGGTGGCCTAGGAGTGTGTGGCCCAGGTGTGGGTGGCCTAGGAGTGTATGGCCCAGGTGTGGGTTTCCCAGGTGTGGGTGGCCCAGGTGTGGGTAGCCTAGGAGTATGTGGCCCAGGTGTGGGTTTCCCAGGTGTGGGTGGCCCAGGTATGAGTGGCCTAGGAGTGTGTGGCCCAAGTGTGGGTGACCCAGGTGTGTGTGGCCCAGGTGTGGGTGCTCAGTGTGGGTGGCCCAGGTGTGGGTGTCCCAGGTGTGGGTAGCCTAGGAATGTGTGGCCCAGGTGTGGGTTTCCCAGGTGTGTGTGGCCCAGGTGTGGGTGCTCAGTGTGGGTGGCCCAGGTGTGGGTGGCCCAGGTGTGAATTTCCCAGGTGTGGGTGGCCCAGGTGTGGGTGGCTCAGGTGTGAGGAGCCCAGGTGTGGGGAGGAGTCACTGCACTGTGTGCTCCTGGAGGCCCAGCAGTAACGACCCTGTCTGACCTCCGTAGCCTACCCTGACACCTCCTCCACGTGCTTGCCCATGCTCCAGTCCCACGACAACTGGTCCAGCCTGGGGGTGCCTACCCACTCCGGCGTGCTCCCCGTGAGTGCCCACTCCAGTGTGCTCCCCGTGAGCGCTAATGCCGGCCCGCCCGCGGGCTCCAGGTAACTTCCTGCACAGGCACGTCTCGCGTGTCCTCCACTGGCCTTTACCCGGCCATCTCCCTGAGGTGGTTGCGCCTTTACTTGTGATTCGACCAGTAGCCAAATATGCCGGGGACCCCAGTTTCATGACCGCTGTGAGGTCTTGCTCGTCCATTCTCCTGGAGGACCTGGGGCTCTTGGCGTGGGCCCCTGAGAGATGGGGCTGGTGAAGCAGGGCCCACCTGGCTGGGCATGGCCTGGCTCACAAGGGAGCCTGGGTGGCGGTCCCTCCCCCAGAGCTGGCGGTGATGCTGGCTGACTTCCCCAGGCTTGGGGTGGCCCTCCTGGCTCTGGTCTGAGCTCCGTCTTCGGTGGGTGCTAGTAGGAGCGTCCATTTCACCGGGAGAGCCGCTGCTGGGCCTGTGAGCCGGTCCCCGGGCTCTGAAATCCTCCCAATTGGTAGATCTGGGGATGTTGTGGAACTGCTGGTCGGGAGCCTTCTGTGGCAACATTTGACGGCGTTCTGCCAGGACCCTCAGCTTGTGGCCGCTGGCCGGTCAGTTTTTGTTAGTAGAGCTGACCACGCTGCTCTCCTCTCTGGGTGGTCCCCGCTGTCCACAGTGGAAATGGCCTGTTTGTGAGCACGACCCGGGCCCCCTTCCCAGGTGTGGGATTTGGTGTTGTGGGGCCTGACGTGTCTGTTCTCCCCTCTCCGGTTCCAGCCAGTACCCCAGCCTGTGGTCCGTGAGCAACGGCGCCATCGCTCCGGGTGCCCAGACACCAGGGGTGCCCAATGGGCTGAGCACCCAGTTCTTCCGAGGCACCTCAGGCCACACTGCACCCCTCGCCCACCCAGCCTCGGTGGCCTCCTCCTCAGCATCCCCCCTGTACGAAGGGGCTGCCCCGGCCGCAGACATCACCAACAGCCAGTACGACTCTGCAGCCCAGGCCCGGCTCATCGCCCCCTGGACGCCTGTGTCCCCGTCCTCCATGTGAGCCCAGTATCTCAGAGACCAGCGACTCCTGGCCCCCTGCCCGGGCTAAGGGGTTGATCTGCTAGGTACCAAGTAGCAGCCTCACAGGCCCAGGGAGCGAGACCACCAGAGCGTAGCAGCCCAGTCCTCTGCCCTGGCCGGGGCCGCCTGTGAAGGCAGCTGTGGGTCCCTGCCACTGGCCTTGTTGCCATGACTCCCAGCAAGAGCCACCAGCTGGGCCCAGAAGCTTTCGTTTGCCCCTTAGAGAGCGCGTAGGTGCTGGCGGCACCTCTGAATTTGTAGACTCCACTGGTCCTCCTGTAGCAAGATAAAAACACACACCGAATCCTCTTCCTGTTGCTTTGGAGTAGTGTCCAGCCCGTGGCAGGCGCCACACTTAGAACGGGCTGTTAAGGACGGCCCAGCCTGGCGCTGCCGATGGCAGAGCCCGTTGAGGGGGCGTTTGCCTGCTCGCCCTCTAGGATGTGTTGATTGGGAGCCTGTGTCACCAACAGCCTCTTCTCCCGTTAAGCCTGTAACTGTCGATATTTTCCTGTTGACGAAGTAGCCAAGGACAATCAGCAGAAAGCGCTTTCTGCAAAATAAAGGCAATATGCAGACCTTGGTCAGTCCTGTTATTACTGTTCAGCCCTTTCCTCTTCTGGGGCGAGGTTTTGCTGTTAGTGTAGCTGGTGGGGAAGGCTTTGTCCCAAAGAAGCATCCCAAGTGGGCCGAGCATGAATCTCTTACCCAGTGAGTTGCAGAACTGGAAATTGCAGAACTTGAAATTTGGGTGTATTGACCACAAAAGACAGAAGATGCTAAAGGAGTCCCGAGAGAGTTAAGCAGTCAGCACTGCGTGGTGGGTGGGCAGGCGCGGTGGAGAGTGCGCGGCTGCACGGGGACACCTGCGTCCCATGCAGGGACAGAGACGAGCTGATGCAAAGGGCAGTTGCTGACTGTTAGAGGCGGCGGCCTGAGCCCCCAGACAACATGGCATCTGTGTCCTTCTGATGCTTTGGGGGCAGTTTCTCCATCTACTGGCAGAACCCTGAATTTGATCCTGCTTGTTCTGCTTTCCAGAACCTCCAGGTGGTCAGTGCCTTGGGGCTCGTTAGACTGCGGTGGTGTGGGTGGCACTGTGGACACAGAGACTGGCGCGGACATTAAGGGCCAGTGATGAAAGGCTGAGAGGGTGTGAAACCTCCAGTAGGAGCTTTAACTACTTCTCATGGTCATTAGCCCCTTAGCCGGAGCTCTAGCTCCTGTACACATTCGCGCTTGTCAGGGCAGACCTAGAATTTATCAGGACAAAGGTTGAGATGTTGGTTCAGGAATATTGATAAGACATAACAGCTAATTTTTGTAAGAATAATGTTGATGAAATGTTTCTCCCATTCTATTATCGAAGAAACATGAAGGCCACATCATTGGAGTGTGGGGTGGGCGTATAGGGTGGAGCCTGGGGACCATCTGACGGCGGGCACTCCAAGGCCAATGACCATGCCGGAAGTGCTGGAAGCAGGCAATAGAACATCTTTTCTCTCCGAGCCTCCAAAACACAACTGATTTAAAGTGAAGAACACGCCACATGGGCGCCTCTCTTGTGATTAAGTAGAATTATGTGTCACTTAAGGGCAGGGACCTGTTCTGAGGAGTTCCTCCTTAGCTGATTTCATGGGCTTTGTCCTGTGTGACCATCGCAGAGTGTAATTATGAAGCCTGGACGGTGCTGTCTGCACCCCTGGGCTGGAGTCAGGGATCTGCTGCATAAGTGGTCAGGCCATCATTGAATGAAATTGTGCTATGTTGGCCATGACGGCGAGGCTGGACAGAGTTACAGCTCTAGGACTGGAGCGTTAGACGAAGCTTTTCCAGGGCTGTGGGGCTGCAGCCATGGATGAGACCCCCAGCCCTGGCTGAAGGCCCAGAGCTGAACTGGAGCCGCTTATATAGACAACTGGGCGGGGCTGGGTCTGCTTTATGCAAGTAAGGTTTACAGTCAGTGCCCTGATTGGGGGAAAGCTTGTCAAGCAGCGATTGGTTAGATTCCAGTGCTGGGCGTGGCTTGCCAGTGAGGTTTCACTCCTGGGCGAAGATGCTCTTAGCATCCCCATCTTGCCTGGGCTCATGGGCACACCTGCACAGCTGGACGTGCCCGGGTGCCCTGCACACCTGCACAGCTGGACGTGCCCGGGTACCCTGCACACCTGCACAGCTGGACATGCCCGGGTGCCCTGCACACCTGCACAGCTGGACGTGCCCGGGTGCCCTGCACACTTGCACAGCTGGACATGCCCGGGTACCCTGCACACCTGCACAGCTGGATGTGCCCGGGTACCTTGCACATCTGTACACAGCTAGATGTGCCCGGGTGCCTTGCACGCCTGCACAGCTGGACGTGCCTGGGTGCCCTGCACATCTGTACACAGCTGGACATGGCCAGGATCTGACCCTCCACGGCCTTCTGATCTGGCTGGTGTTATCCAGACCTGGGAAGGCTCCGTGTTTGCTATTTCACTTTAGTTATCAGTCAGGTGGCCTGTGACTGGAAACATGCAAGACAGCGTTCGTGTGGGGGAGGAGTGAGACCACAGCGTTGCACTTGCTCCATATGGATCGTGGAGCAACACCCCGTGGGGACGGACTGTGGCGAGTCAAGAATTGTCTACTGTGAACTCTGAAGCAGCCTGTCCCGCAGAGTCCTATCTAGTGAGTCAGCCGGGGAGCAGCCTGTGCGCCTGTTCTCTGCTCTCCTCAGAAGGAGCGCGGGGCCCAGCCCAAGGGGAGGCCATGCTGGTGCGTGCGCTCTCGGGCCCACTCTGAGAGCCAAGCGTAGACCTGGCCTGGGCACGGAGGGCGCCCGGGCCCTGCACACCTGCTCACAGGCCTCGTGTGCCCACGGCAGGGCCAGGCCGGTGTCTCAGGACGGAGTTCCGCGCTCCTGGCCCCAAAGATTCACACTGTCCCGAGTCGCACACTCTGCGGGGAACTAAGCTCCATACGAACCGTGTTCAACCGCTGGTGCAGCAGGGTCCTGGCGAGCCCCAGAGCCCAGCCGTGTGAGAGGCAAACCCATTTCCTGCTCACGTTCTGGGCCAGCGCCGGAGCTTTGCCCGACAGAGCAGGCAAGCCTGGCCCACGGCCCCCCTCAAGGCCCTGCGGCTTCCCCAACACCACCCGGACCTGCAGGCCTCCAGGTGGAGGCCGAGAGCACTGGGCCACGGGCTGTGTCTCTTACACCTTGTGCTCAGACCCGGCAGTTTTAACGCCCACTCCTCTGTCGTGCAATCAAGACACGCCAGGCCCTTCTCAGAGGGTCGGGGCCCCCGCGGGAGAGGGGGGCTGTTCATGGGAAAAGACTAATGCAATTTACCATAGGCCCCGCCTTCCCACAGAATCCAGCAGACACGACGGCTAGTCCCCCCAGTACACACCCCTCCTTCGTCCAGCTGCCGCGACGGCCAGTCCCCCCAGAACGCACCCCTCCTTCGTCCAGCTGCCACGACGGCCAGTCTCCCCAGAATGCACCCCTCCTTCGTAACAGCGTCAAGGGCTTCTCATGGGTGTGACTGAAAAAGAACGTGGTTTAGTTTCTGTTACTGTGTCGTGTGGACTTGGCGATCGGCTGTTAGTTTTCTTTCTTGGCCTTGATGACTGTAGCCACTGACCCACCGCGACCGGCCTTCATAAACATCCTTCTGAGAGTGAAACTTGGTCCTAGAAACAGGAGAGAGAAGGCACCGGGGCTGCAGAGAGCGTGTCACCACGCGCAGCACCGGCCCTGAGGAAACACGGTGAAGCAGAGCTTGCAGCCGGCCGCGGGGGAGGAGAGCTCGACGGCGACTCCCTGGGTGGGGGGCTCCTCCCGGTGACCTCCGGACCATCAACCTCCATGAAGAGGTTTCCTAAAATTGATCTGCTGAGAAGATTCTTGGGGTGGAGTCCCCCCTCCACCGGCATCACCACCTCCGCCTACTTAAAAGGGGCGGTTTACTGTGGGCTCGCGAGGCCCCCCCACTGACCCAGGTGTGAAAACCTCCAGACATCAAACGAAATGGACAATCCCAGGGCATCATAAAGGTCCCTGGATGCCCCCAATAAAGCGCTCTAAGAATCCACATGGCAGAAGGCACTTTCCGGCACCCAGACGCGCAACCTTTAACTTCCAGCCACCCCAGAAACGAGACTTGGCTCCAGGCTCTGGAGGCGGCCACAGCTCCGAGCTGGGGGCTGGTCACACGCCAGGCCCCGACCATGGCCTTGCATGTCAACCGCCTGAGCCCGATCCCCCTTTATAGCAAAGGAAATGAGGTACAGACAAGCCCTGTCTTACTCAAGGTCACACAGCTGACAGGGGGCGGGTGCACCCAGAAGCCGGGCAGCCTGCTCTCCATCTCCCAGCCGGGCCAGGCACACACGCAGGACACGCACAGGAGTCGGCCCGTCCGCCACCCCGGTTCCCATCACCGCCTCTCCCGGCCTCCGCTCCCCAGCCCCGCCCCGCCCGCCCCCTCCGTCTGCACGCCCGGGGCACGCAGGAGGGTGGAGGGTCATGCTGGCCTTTCTGTGGCGGCTTCCCTGGTGCCATCCTCTGGGCCGCCCGCGGGAGGGGCCCCCCACTTTGCGGTGCAGGCAGACCCCCTGCCGTGCGCCCACGCTCGTGTGACGCCTCTGTCCGTGAACACCCTGCTGGCTCCCACTGTCTGGCTACGGTTTCCATGCTGCTGTGAAGATGGGGTGCAGATAGCTGCCCAGACCCCACACATCAGCATCAAGAGCTGGCCTCGTGGCCTGCCGCAGCACGCGGGCTGGCAGCGGGGGGAGAGACGGTGACCCCCGGGGATTGCAGGACACCGGGCCCGCCCGCTGCGCCGCTGCAGACCACAGCAGCCGCAGGACGGCGGAGGAGGTCAAACCACGGGCCGGGGTCACGATACTGTGGGTGTTGAAATGTCTTTTTCTAACCATTTAAAACGGGCAGCAGTTTTTAGCTCAGGAGTCAAGACAGCAGGCAGCCGG